CGGTCGAGCCGAGGTCTTTGTTGAGGTGCTGGCCCTGTAGTGTCTTTGAGTCTTTGTGGTTCTCTAAACCAAAAGTAGGAGGACAATTAGGCCCTCTTATCTGCTGAGTCTCGTGTTCTGACTCTTGTCGCAGCAAATTATTGGAGTCGAGTTCGAATGAACGCTGCGATAATGAGGGGACTGGAGCGGCACGTCATCGTGTTTTTCTTATGTCTCTTACGGTGTCAGACTTTTCTTTTCCACGCCAGTAATACCGATGTTCTCTGCACACAGTCTTTCATACTTCACAAGATTTGCGCTGCTGCGACTCTGTCGCCCACGGGAACACCCTTCCGAGCAAGCGTACGGCCAGGCTGGTCAAAAGAGAAAACCTCGCTGAAGCTTCGGTCTACCCAGAAGAGTTGGCGCTGACGACAGAGGCTCCAAACGTCAATTACATTCCGGCATGCAGCCAGAGAAAACGTGCGTCTCTATTGCGATACGTCAAGAGCAGGTAAGGATTCTATTGGAATGTCGACCGCAGAAAAGGTAGGCTAGGCTGTGCCGACGGACCTTTCCACCTGCTAACGCGTCTCCTAACACTGATCAGTGGTCGAATTAGGCAACTCTTTTCATCACGGGGCAGCTTGGGCATGACCGATAGAAAGGGCAGTCTCGATCGGCCGGGCCAGCTATTACGAGACATTGACTTTATTCCGTCTGTTCAACTGGCGATACACGACCCATTTTGACCTATCTCAATCTCTCCTCCGTCATCGCTGACCGACTGCCAGTCTCAGGCCGCCGAGAGAGCGTCCCATCACACAGACCTCTTTCAGCCAGCTCACCGGAGGAGTCGCTCCGACAGGTGCCTCAGTCGTCAGACCGCTAAACGCTGAGAAGACGGTGTTCCAATACACCCACAAGACCAGTTCCTTCCACCAGAAGTCCTCTGCGGAAAGGCTTCCTTCGGCAAGTTGTTTTTCTGCCAGAATTGTTCCCTGTGGAAAGAGCTCCCTCCGCGAGTTCCTGAGACTTTTGACCGTTAATCGTTTCACCGTTGGAGGATGGGCGTTAGACGTTGGGTCATTGGACCGTTGAGAAAATGGCAGTCTGCCCTACGACCTCATTCCGCCAGAAGTCCACCGCGGCGAAGTCATCTCAACAACTCCTTCTCTAGCGGTCCCTTTAGGCTTCCTTCTGCTAGAATCCGACGTCGCTACGGAAGGGCCACATCAACGAGCTTCTTCCTGCCAGAATCTCTCGTGAAAAGACCTTAGTCGACAAGCCCTCAGCCGCCAGATCAACCGCCAGACCACTGGCCGCTGAGAGACAGTGCTCCAGAAGTGTTGGGATATTCACGGCATAAGAGGGATTTGGAATGTGACCGGGCCGTTTCAAACAGCCCTCCTGCCTCCTTCGACCTCCCTGCGCGAGAGTCTCGCCGCGAGAAGGCTCGCTTCAACAAGTCTTCTTTCCACTAGATATCCGCCGTAGAAGGATCACTTCGACAGGACCTCCTTGAGCGGCCGTCACGCTGAATTGCTACTCCTGATCGCCGCGGAAGAAATCCATCTTGGCCACCTTCTGCTGCCAAGGGTCAACCTAGCCGCGGAAGGTTTCCTTCACCAAGCTTTCTCTCTGCCAGAACTCCTTGCGGAAAGAGCTCCTTTGTCAAGCGCCCCGCAACCAGCCGCTGGTTCAGACCGCTGGTATAGGGCTTCCGCGAACCCCTACCTCGATTCCTTCATCCAGAAGCTCGCTGCGGAAGTATCTCATCCTTCTACACCACCGCTGAAACCCAACAGCTTACGACTATCAGAATTCCCAACTTCCACCAAGTCTCTGCTAGGGTAGCCCTTCGTTTCGATAAAGTCTCTGTTGACAGTGCGCATCCCCCGTTTTCTGCGAAATTTGCGGTAAGCCTACATCCCTCCATTTTTCCTCACCCTTTTGCTCCTTCGTCAATAGAACTACAGGTCCGATAAGTAAGACTAAGCAGCTTGACAAAGAGAAAAGTGCCGGGGGGGTTCATCAGTACGGCGAGTTGCCGAGAAGCACGATTGTTTGAGTTATCACCACCACAAGTTCAGCAAAAAACATACAACACCAGGTATTCGCTGGTCGTCACCGACCCAACTACTAATCCGGCCCTCATTGGCTTGTCTATGGGAGAGCGGACGGGATCCCGAATTTTCCAATGGGTATGGTCGTATGTGGTCATCGGAGAAGGTAGGATAGACTAAGCTGACATCTCTGTGTTCAGTCCCTTTGACGGCGGGTCAGCCTTCATCAGCACTTTCATCGAGCCACTTTCACCTACTGCAGCCATCTCAATGGCCCTTCAGCACTGCCTTCAGTCAACTCCACCTCCAGCCAGTTCGACGGCAACCCCTCTGACCACATCCACGACGAGTGACCTCCTTTAGCCGCCTCGACGGGACTTCCTCTAGCTGTCATGACCACAAGACTGCCCTGCTGACGTGTATACCAGCAGATCCTTTCGCGAGAGTACCTGCGCATGTCCCGCGATGAGCAACGAGTTCGGCACGCCTGGCGCCTCTTTGGATATCTCCAACCTTTCCCCTCGATCCCACAACGACACATCACAGTCGTTGTTCTCTTGGACCTTGAAAGAGACGTTTAAGATAGGCTTGAACACCGGTGGGATGACTGTTGACTTTCAGCCGAGTTCGCCCAATTTAGACGCCGAGAGCAAATGAGGAGGCCGCTGTATCCTCGAATGTATTACCGTCATCAAGTTCGAGCCCCAGTGCAACGATGATACTCATCTGGTGGCTAGAGCTGAATGAGATGCGGCGGTCGAAGGAAGCGGGTTCGAGCCAAACTACTTTACGAGTCATAGATGCCGGGGAAATCTCGCAACTGGCTCGGTAGGGCTTCAGGCACTAGTATGAGCGCCTGCTTGATGAGAAAGCCGCACTATCAGGTGAACCCGGGCGGATTCTTCCTGGGCTTGGAGGCTTGGACCAGACAGGTCTGAGCAGTGAGCAAAGCCCTATGTAGATTGCCGTGCCCGATGCCTTCGTGTTGGGATTTGGTCGTTCGAAGAATCAGAAAGAAGACGATTCCATCAAGGAGAGAGATCAACGACCCCAACCTCACCTTAGTGCAGTCGCCCTGGTGCGGTGGAGAGCCATTGATCCGGCACATGATGGCTATCTTCACCGACTTCAAATTCGTGCCGCCTGGTTCGGTAACGGGACTAAAGTATACCAAAATCGATGCCATTTGGAACAGGTATGTGTGTGCTTACACCTGGATTGACTCTGTATTTTGATGATCCGACCGGCGGTTTACCGCCCCCGGGTGGTGGCATGCGCGACGCAGAGCTTCTGTAAACAATGACGCCGGCCGTCTTTCGTCGCGCGTCTTGTACGCACACTTCGCCGATAAGACCCTGGCTGGGGTCGAGACGAAAGTGGCAAGCTTTTATACCTAAATCATGCCTCGGCGGAAGTGATATACCTTATCAAAACGGGCTGCTTGACGTCCACGGCATGCACCAATGTGTTAATCCGACTACTGACCTTGCTCAATAGAACTCTGTCTTCCGGGTGCTGAGGTGCTGCTGCGGTGGCTCAATTCCACGGGAAGGTTCAGCCAACGGCTGATCTGTTTATGGCATCACGGGTCAATTGGATCTGAAGGCGGACGGGGCAGGCAACCTTTGAATGGTCTACCGCCTATCGTATATGGTAAGAGACGTAGTTTTACTTCCATCTTGTCTAGTCTGGGGCTGGACCAATAGCCTCAAATTTACTTTCTCGGCCCCAATTGACACAATGTTGAGCGGTGTAACCCGATTTGATGACTTCAGCCCATAGGTCGTCCTGAGGGAGCCACCTGCCCGATCAAGGGAAAGTTATCACGGTAAAACCAGCGGCCCAATCCACGGATAGCCTTCTTACGACTACAGCACACTTTGTTGGTCTGTCAAATTCTGATGAATTCAAGGCTGTCCACATCAAAGGCTATTTAGCCGCAACCGGGAAGTAAACACGATGCTGCGCATATGAGACAGCCCGTTGAGGAAAGCAGGCCTGCTTGACGTCTTCTGGCTTTCTCGTGCTTTTGTGAAGAGGTATACTAATGCTTTACCTGGGAGATTAACTCGGGAAGAGCCGCACATACACAAAGCAGCGCCTGAACTTGCCGTAGCTTCACTCAAGAATACCCACTGAGACGCATGCCAGCGACTCATCTGGAGCAGTGCATCATCTACACGGTAGGGCCCCGGCGGATTACTCCGTCAGGGGTAAGCGTGAGTAAGTATAGAAGGTGCATTTGGCGGTGCTATATCCTGGCGGACTCAGCTCGTAGTTGCCTAACTGCTTTAAGACTGAGGCATTTGAGGCATTAGCAGTCCTTCAACGTCAGTGTCAATGTACATGCAATAAGGTGGTCCACCATTTGACTAGATGTCCGCGATCGCTCAAGAAGCCTTGCATGAGGTTGAGGCGAGCAGCTTTCCTTCAAAGTCACCGTTCATTGGACCAAAAGAAAACTGACATCGCAGCAGATGCTCTCGGAATACGGGTATCAATGGTGGTTATGAGGTGAACTAAGACTAGGGACTTTTTCCCTGATGAGGACATGCGGTCGGCGTTTGCCTCCGCCCGTGTCACGACTGAAACCTGTTCCATGTCACGATGTCACAGGCTCTGCATATCTAGCAACCCGAAGCTACGAGCCGTCAGAGGACAATTAAAGCCCTCTCGCCTCGTTCTCTGAGACAAGACCATCGTGAGATCTGTCATCATCGCTGGTCTTGAGCAGTTGAGCTCAAATAAATGATACCTCAATGCATCCTAGCTATAAATCCTTACATTAATCAAGTTCGATATACTGTCCAGATAAACGAACGGACGGGGAGCATCTCACCCCTATCTCTGAAGGGAGTACCCGCAGCTAATCTATGTCTAGACTCGCCATTGAGTAGTATTGATGATTCAGGCCCCTCTCCATCTGGCTATGTGCAAATAGACTACGTTGACTCTTCAAAAGCTCGTGCGATATATGTTCCGAAGCAGGTGTCTCAAAACACCTTTGCAATCTTCTCCGTGAAACCTATTGCGAAATATCTTGTTTGTCTCCTTGGTGTAGGCGCGTAGCGTGTTGACGTTTCGAAAGGTCTGAACTCCTTCCTTGTTTCCCCGCCTGCTTTCAATTAGATCCACGATGTTGACATGCGTCCGTCGTGCAGCCTACAATCTTTGTTAAATAGATAGATCAAATCAATATCAGACCACTGACACTAACCTTCTTGCATTGCTCAATGGTAACCGGCAATGGGTTAATCCCAATTGCGCGACAGAGCGCATGCCACGCAGCCAAATCGTCTTCCGCACCAAACCACATTTGAAACTCCTTCTCAAGAGCTTTTTGGTATTTATCCCAGGCTTTGTCTGACTCCGGCTGGCCATGATGCCACCCCATATGTCTCTGTAAGTTGGCATACGAGATATGTGGTGGAAGAGAACGGTCGTAGTCAAAGGCCGCGTATGAACGGAAGAATGCATCTAAAGGTGTTTCCGTGCTTTGCTGATGAATAGAAGAGTCTCGAAGGTGCTGTTGAAGAGCCTCTTCCGTGCCAAAGAATCGATTACAGGTATCACAGTCATAGGACGACCTGTGAGCAGAAGAGTTGCGCAGGTGCTGTTGAAGAGCCTCTTCGTTTCCAAAGGACCGATTGCAACTTTCGCAATCATATGACGGCCTGTGAACAGGTGAGTCACGTCGGTGCTGCTGAAGAGCTTCGTCGTTGCCAAAGGATCGATTGCAGGTATCACAGTCATAGGATGGTTTGTGAACAGGAGAGTCGCGTAAGTGCTGTTCAAGCGCCTCATCGTTGCCAAAAGATCGATCGCAGGTGCTGCAGTCATAAGAACGCTTGTGGACAGGGGAGTCGCGTAGGTGCTGTTGAAGAGCCTCGTCGTTGCCAAAGGAACGATCGCAGATATCACAGTCGTAGGACGGACTATGGATAGGAGAGTCGCGCATGTGTTGTTGAAGAGCCTCTTCGCTGCTGAAGGATCGGTTGCATGTAACACAGCGGGAGCTCATTGTGCCAGAAATGCCGTACGACTAATGTTGATCATGGTACTCAGAGAGATCACACGGAATGGTTGGAAATATGAGCCATCAGTCCAATTATAAACTCGGCACATAGAACGCAAGTAAGCCGTATAAGTGCGGCTTCGCACTATCGTCCAATGAAACTGTGACACATGGTGCTGTTCCTGTCGTAAATTATCTACCTACCTCAACCAGCCCAACATGGGAGAGACAAAGCGGGAGAAGAACTTGCAGTAGCCCAAGAACAACGACAACCACCGATATGCCCCATGACCATTGCTTCTATGAGGCGGTTAGCTGTAGCAGGGATCATGTAATGATGGTGCTATCAATCTATCTCTCAAGGCCGGGGTGGAGCGCGACCCAAGGAGCTCTTTTTGACCTTGATATGAGGAAGGCTTTTGCTGGATAATAGATGTCGGTTGGACGTTTGTTCGCTTCCTCCGGATCATGGGTTGTTTGTGATTCTGGGCCGAGGAACCTGTTCCCATCGGCCAAGCGGGGTTCGTTCATGCGCTATGTATGGTCTCATCCCTTGCATCTTGTCATATGTTGGAGGCGCAGGTTCAGTAATATCGAATCTAGACACATGCATTAAGGCGACAGATGTACTCGTTTGCGCAGAACATAGCCTTGCCGGACACCAATCTTTGATGGGAGAAGAGGTGTAATGCTAGACGAGCGAGCGGGAACGTGTGGGATGGCGTGCCTGCAACGCCCGGGGTTTTAGCCACTCAAACATCCTTGTGCGCCGGTTGATGTGGATTTACCTGCAAATGTTCGCCTCGTTGTTGGTGCATTGCGCAGAGAACAACAACCAACCGCCGTTATGTCCCAACTGGTTCGGCGCACGACATAAAGCTATCGTTGGTTCCGAGCGGGGTTGACATCAGGCAACAATTAGGCACTTATTATCGCTAGTTCGCAAGGCTCCGGCAGGCGAAGTGGACCATGAGCTGATCAATTGGGAACAAGGCATGCTGCATAGGAACGGGGGCATCAAGCGCCGCAGCATCGTGATCAGCGCACTCGTTGCTCGCCACAATGTCGACGTCTGCGACTCGAAAGCGAACCTTGAGCTACCCTGGCAGATGAGGATGCTCGAGTGTTGGTCCGCTCGGTTCTAGCGGAGAACAGCCTGGTTGCAGCTGGTGAGGAGCCACGAGCGCTCCGGCCAATGGTAAAGCCTTCGGTTCGGATCTCCATATTTAGCGACAGAGATTGGGCGCTAAACAGTCCTTAGTACCTCGACCAAAGCAAAGGCTTCTGGGCCATGCCTCGGTCCCTGTCTTGACATGGAAATGCCCGGCCGGGGAGGGCGTCAATCCCAGTGATCACGGAGGCATTCGAACCTCCCTTGTTCTTCTTTGCTTCGTGCCGCTAGATACTTATCTAGTCTCTTGGAAGAAAGTAAGTATGCATGGCTCTTATGACTCTATGGTTTGGGGTCGCGGGTCACGGGTCGCGGGTGGTGCAAAGAACCATGCTGCTTGACGCGGGAACGCAGGGGGCAGGCAGGTCCGGCACGTTGTGCTTCCAGTACCACATCTTGCTGCTGGCACAGCTCGTTGTATTTGTTTGTTCTGCTCGCGGCCACTTGAGCTCGGGTCAGAGCCTGGACAAGACACACGCTGAATATGTATCGATGACTATCACCGTGAATGACTCTTCATGGAGGCGGCTATCTGTTGTGGTCAAAGTAACAACAGCCGTCTTGTCTGCCTACATATATGTGTGTACATATCTTGTTCTTTCCGGAGACTTTGATGCAGCTTTGGAACTAAGCCCATAAGCCTTTGGGATCGTCATCGTCCTCAGAGATGTACTGCAACTCAACACTGTCAGTCAAACTCAAGATCATCGTTTTGCTCAACCGTTGCAGTTCCGGCCAGATGGAACTCGTGCTCTCCATGGTCTCCTCGATCCTGCTACGATACTTAGAAAGATGGTCCATTCGATGCATGTGGACATCGACGGCCAATGCATACACCAATGGTATCAAGTCGCTGACTTCTCTGTGAACAGCCTTTCTCCGTGGACGGCACTTGCAGAAGCGTTCCCCAGCCGCAAGAGGGAGGCCACCGACACCTTTGAACATAGTTGTACAGGCACAGTCGCCCCGGAGGACTGTCATGAATGGAAGAAAGTTCTTCCAGACGACACTGCCGAGAAGGATGCCAGTCTCAGCCACTCTTGCCTCCGGTATACAGAAGCAACCATACGAGACTTTCGACAAAGGCATCTCGAGACAGTCGGCGTCGCGACAAAAGTGTCTGCTCCAAGGATACGAGCGGCGGGCACAGCCGTTCTGAGAAGTCTCAGTGTCTTCTCAATAGCCTGGTCAATCTTGGCCTCGATGTCCGGGATGTGGGCTGCGCAGATCGCCTCCGATACGGCAATGTCATGAGATGAAGCCGTGGCCATACTAATCAGACCTTCGGTAGAGTCTTCGTCATCTAGAAATATGCGAGGGTGATCAGAGAGAGATTAAGGTGCTCTGAAAACGAGGAACCACGTACCTCTGGAGACGAATGCAAACTTCACACACAACTTGGGCCAAAGTTCTCTTATCTCCAGTCTCTATCTGCCTCAAAAGATTACTTTCAACACAATCTGTCTCTCCGCTGATAGTGAAGTCTCATTAACTTATATCAAAGTGGTGTTAGTACCGCGTCTGATCGTACCTGTGCGGTAGGAGAAACTTATCTTTCTTCGTGCCAACGATGATTATGGGGACCAAAGGTGCAGTGGACGCTACCTCTTCCAGCGCACGAGCCAGAGCGGCCTGAATAGGGCGAGCAGTCTCCGCATCGACACAAGTTCTGGTAAATCAAACGCTGAGCTCATGCAATGGAATATTCTTCGCGAATTGATGACACAACGCATACCATATTGCGTGAAAGTTCTCCTCGACCAGCGTCTGGCCTGATCTTTTGACCAGAAACTCCTTGAACGCATTCACTTTCTTTGAGGTTGCCGGCCTGAAACCCTTCAGAATCGTGGCCATGATTCCAGGTGTTCACCTGTCTCGAAAGCTTCGTAGATGTCGTGTATTAATCTTCGACTAGCTTGTTACGGGTCTGGAGGGCGTTAGTGTTGAATCGTAGTTGCTTTCTTCGTCGATGTCTTACCATGGTTATGTCAAAGACACGATTGAGCAAAGTTGAACTTCCGACTCCAGCATTACTGCAGCTCAGGATCTGGCATCCAGTGCTACATATCGGAAGATGACCTCGGATCTGGATATTAAATCTCGCTGTTGTCCTCCCTGTGTCGAAAAATCAGGTCAAGCATACCTTTTCTCGTTCAGACTCTGTGTGACGTTGGAATCCTTTCAAAGCTTACCGTATACCCGAGGTAGCGTATGTGTTCATTAAGAAGTAGATGGACAGGTGAATGACAGTTCCGCCTTTCGCTGGATAGATCTAGGTCAGATCAAACACCAATAATTGTCAGAACAGCTTACAACAGGTACTATAGCCCTACAGCTCACCAAGTGTGCTACCTGCAAACACAGCGCGTTCTCCTCTACCCAGGTGGCCTCAGGTTCTCTTGTTGATGCTGACCCAATTTGTGGCCTTCTCTGGACTATGGCGCTTTTGAAGCTTACTTTCTGTGACCTCTTGAAGATTTCCATGATTTTGTAACTGCGGAGATCGACCATGCTGATTTGAGCACCGTTGGAGTATCGGTATGTCCAGACCTGAGACGGAACGGGGCCCTGATATTAAAGCGTCTCTGTCAGCACTGTGGAATTTTTTGCCATTGGGGTGGCCAATGGTGAGCTTGGGAAATATTAAGTTCAAGGGTTTCTGTATCTGACCTTTAAGATGGCGCGGAGGATCGTGCTTGGATACCACACCCTGGGATCTGCTTTCAATCAACATCCACTGGAGGGGTAACAGAGATAGTCCGTCGTGAACTGCTCCTCCGCACATATCAGCACGAGTGCCCACGAGTCCTGCTTGCTGGTGGCAGTCTTCTTGCCCCCGATTCCCAGAGTTGTCGACGGGCTCGCTTCGAAGGACTGGGAAGTGCTTGCGCTCCTCGTTCATGGCAAGAGCGTGTCTCCCGGGCTCGATTCGGCTGACGTCTGGAGTATCGACCTCCTCGGAAGAGCTGTGTTGTTTGGCAGTGTCAAAAGGCCCCAGAAACTTGACTTTCTGAGGCTCACGTGTGTGTTGACAACCAGATGCAATCGTTAGCTATAGATTCAGCAACCTGAAGGACATGGACGTCCCGACTTCTCCAAAATTGTACTCTCAACCCGGTATGATTGGGCCCTATTGCTTTTCTCCTTACCCACGATCTTCAATCGCTTTAGAAAATGATCTCTCTGGTCTGGCGGCACGTTTTTCGATGGGAACCATTCAATGCGTGCCGCCACGGCGCGGCTACATCTGTGCTCGATCTTCCATAGTCCTATCCTCTCAGGGGTGCAGGGTAAGTGTAAAAGCTCCCCTACTGAATTCAACTAAGTAAATCTCATTGACGGAGGACCTGACTGCGCGGATGCAGAAGTAAGAACACGTGAGTACGCCTTGATCTCGAGGGGATTATGGTAGGAGAATTACAAACAGAATAAACCTCGACTATCTCCTCGGCGCAATCAGCACCAGTGCCGCCATCGTTGGATTAATTCAACGGCCACTTGTCAGCGCCGATTCCGGGACAGTACTTGACAATATTCAAATCTATCAGCGATTACGGCAAACGCAAAATTTGGTTAGGAAGCCCGTACCTGCTCAACTTTGTTTCCCTTCTCGTCAGTATTCTTGCCGTTCTTGAGGAAAGCATAGATACGGAACAGGCTGCTGTAATTGCCACTCCCACGTCCTGAGATGGCGTGCAGCTGTCCTTTAGGTGGCTTAAGTCTCCAGGGTCGCTCACCTTCCTGTGAATCTTCACTGCGCCCTTTCTCATCAACGCAGGCGACGATTCGACGCAATCTACTGGACATGTTTATCTTTGATGTATATATAAGCTAGAATCCCCTCACTCCTTTTGTTGGTATACACTTCAGTAGATCAGCTTTTCGGTGGGTAGGAAGCTCAAGAATCGGGTATTGGACTGCGAATATGGGTGGAGGTAGTTGCTGGGTAGAGCCTATGGTTCCTCTTTCAGGTGTAAGTAGGTGGAATGGCCGTTATAATAGTCTTTCTACCTTTTAACTCCTCTTTTTGCCTCCAAATCTAGCACTGGCAGTGTCTGAATTGTGGGTAGGAAATGCAGCGGCTTCGTACAGCCGTCATGCTCGGTGGTGAGATCCCCTCTTCCCGAATGCTCTTTTTCCTATTTGGCAGCACCTCGGCAGCAGTTGCCATTCATGAAGAATTGAAAGTCCAAAGCCCCCGTATTCCTCCATTCCAACGCGCATTATATAATCGTGGTTGATTCTATTGGTCTGACTGCGCCCAGAACCCGTGCGTTATTACCCAAGCTGAAGCCCAAGAGGCGTATACGTTCGCTGATGACTTGCTGTCTGTAATATGCTGCTGTTTTAATCACGCATGTGAGTGGCTCGTGGCCCTTGCCCTTGAGTTGGCTATGGGAGGTAGCTTGCCATCGAAGTGACTAGAGGAGGTGCTGTTGAACTGGCTGAAGGTATGTTTGACTAGAGATCTGACTGAAAATTTGACTGGAGGAAGTGCTGGTAAGTCGTTGAGGTGGCTGCGGTAGATGTAATTGATTTGGTGGAAGTGCTAGTGGCTGCTGGATCTTACTGTCGAACTGGCTAGAAGAGAAGCTTGCCGTCGTACTGGCTGGAGGAGAGGCCTGTCGTCGAAGTGGCCACTGGAGATGCCTTCGCAGTAGCAGGAGGAAGTGGAAGTGCGTCGACGTGGCGGGAAAAAGCGGGCAAGTGGAAGTGTCCGTCTGCCGTACTGATGAGAACTCTAGCACTTCTCTCTTTATTAAGGCACTTACCGCACTTTCCATTTATCGAAGAGCCCCGAAGGCGGGGAGGAATAGTCAAAGATATAGGCTGACTGTAAGTACGTATCAAACGGAAGATGCCCGCATTGTACAGGACCTTCGTTCAACCCATACAGTTGCCTCAGAAGAGATCCGATGAAGTTGAAGATCTCGGCGACTAATTAATCTCGGCGGTGGTGTAGGAGGGTGAGATCCTTCCACGACGAGCTTCTGGCGGAAGGGAGTGGAAGTGGGCGTGTTGTAAGGCCGTCTCTTGGCGGCCAGCGAAGTGACGGGCCAAAGGCCGAGGGCTTGGTGACGTGACCCTTCCGTGGCGATGTCGACGTCCGGCTGAAGAAAGCCTATAGGGAATGCCGAAAGGCTTGTCGAGATGATTCTGCTACAGTGGATCTCTAACAGAAGGAAGTCTTGTTAGAGAGACTCTTCCGCAGTAGATTCCTGCGGAAGGAGGTCGTACGGCGTGCTGAACTTCCGTCTTCTCAGCGACCACCGGTCTTATGGGCTGTGAGCTTACCGAAATGACCCTTCCGCAGTGGATTTCTAGCGGAGGTCTGCGAGATGGAACGCGCTCTCAAAGATTCCATCTAGCTTCCGCAGTCGGAAGTAGGTAGCACAGCGTTGACCGTGATCCTGCCAGTAAGTCTCAGTCATCTAAGTTAATAGGCAACAGAGCTGTCTGTCTGTTCGATCCTGTCTCTTCTGTTGACTGCGTGGCCTAGCTGACCTGTGATGAACCCTACCACTGATCCGTAGATACTTACAAGCACGTAAAAATCAGAGTCATTCCAAGCACTAATCAATCTTGGTGTCACGTCAGCAGTGCAAGCGCACGTTTGATACGAAGGGCTAATAAAGTGGTGTTGATTACTACGTATGAAGGTGGAAGGAGAGATGGAAGGAGGAGGAAGTGGGCAGAACCTACGACTCCTCAGAAAGGGTATGTAAGTAGAAGGAGCGTTTGTGTGGTCCAGACCACCTTCCAAATCCGCTGTCAATGAATAAAACCTGCAACAACAAGGCCAGTGCAAACAGCAAGAGTGTGGTTGAAAAGATCCTAGTGAACGCTCCTGAAAACATTTTGTATCAAATTTTGAAGCAACTCGAGCTTAACAGTTGCCGCAATTCAGCAACCTTCGTTGTCAGAACTGAGGTGGCAACCATCGCCTGGGACATCCGGCCGAAGTTCATCTACAACCCACTCAACAACAGCAAGTACATACTGCCACGAACTCTGAGTGCAAGAGTCCCGTAGGCCTGGCTCAATCTTTTAGGACTCCTGTATAGAGGAGGTGAATGACCAGCAAAGGGCAATAAATAATTTTCAGTCCAGGAGAGAGATTACCTTCATATTTCCCTTCGATAGGTATGGTGTACATTTTGCCCACGAACTCATTTACCTTGCCGACAACGACAACTTGCGGGCAGTTATAAAACGGCTCAAGAACGAGCTTCTGGCTACTGGATAGAGAGAGCACGCTACTCCGCGATGCACGATGCTTTCGACTTTGATCGCTATCTGTGCGAAGCCCGCAACAACAATCTCCTCCAGCAGAGTGGCAACGGGCCAGTCCCGGGACCTTCGGGGTCGAGTATTCCGCGACATCAGCATGTCAATTGAGAAGAACAAGAAATCTTTGATGATCAAACTCGCCGCTGATTTGACACCGTCTCTATACCAGTATGCGGAGAGCAGGGAAGCGCAGAGTCTCCTGAAGCGATCCGTCGAGCTTGGAAACTCGCCGCTCTCGACGAAGAAGTACGAAGCTAATCAATCTCAGCGGCTTAGACGACAATCATCTCATCCGAGTAGATCCCGAGAGTTATGATCGAAGTAAGACTCAGAGATTCAAAATTCCAGCCCAGGCCCCAAATACCAGGGATTACCATACACCGGCAAGCCAAGAGTACACTTCGACTAGACGCGATCGCAGTCACGTTCGGGGCATCTGGAACTATGATCAATCTTCAACTGACCGGAGAGATGCGCTATGGCCGGTTCTCAAACGCATTGTTTTAATACATTACTCGGATCGATAGCATGGAAAGCCACCAGGTCATGACGCAGCCGGAACTCATACTATCTTAGCAGTGAACGGTGACGGGTCTCGGACATGCTATCAGCAGGCCATGCGCCTTGTCAAAGAAGGTGAAGACTTCCTCATGGAGAGCTACTTCGAGATCGGGGACTTCTAAGAAGATTACGCATGCTTCTTTGGCAATGAACCCGGTGGGTGTTGTGCCAGACCCGACCCTGGCCATGTCTGAAGAAGTAGTACTGAATGATTGTACATAGCGGATGAGGGAATTGGGCCCAATATACAGCTCATCAAGAACTCGGTCAGCCCTCGGAACCTCGATTATTGCAAGGACATCACTGAATGTGCTGAGACGCTGGCGGAGGTGGATTCCAATTTTAACTCGTTATCTGCCAAAGGTTTCGCATCAGTAGAGAAGGAGAAACAACTGCGGATGACGGGAGAATAACATGACCAATGTAAGGGACATCTTCAGAGTTTTGCGCATGAAAGCTGAAAAGAGAATGTCAAAGCTAAAAGTGGAGGATAACAACAAGGCTCCATGCCGCGACGAGGTCATCAGCATTGCATGGCTCCTTTCGACGCGGGGTACCTGGACTGGTAAAAGCCCGACCCATGCGCCAAAGTCGCTCTCTCAGCAGCATTTAACGTCGTCGAGCTGAGTTCACACTCGAGCTGTAGTAATGCAGTGCCCTGCAAGTGGGTTTTCAAGACGGCACCATGCAAGTTGAACAAGGTGCGTCCCTCCATCTCAACGAAGAGATACCTTGTACGCCCGCGTTTGGACCTTCTGTAACGAAAACTACTACAATGAGACTTGACTGATAGTGGGTCCCTTTGGCTGAGACCGCTCTTACTCGATGTCAGAACTTGAAAGGTATGTTGAAGCGCCGGGAACCACAGATGGATCTTGCACACGTTGTCCTCTAAACATTTGAAGACGATCTCTTTACTGATATACAACATCTTGAGTTATTCAGAATCCCGGGGCTTACGATAGATACTTGGCAAACGTTCACTAGTTCATCAAAGACGCGATGGAGAATGTCAAGCTCGCTCACGAGAACACGCTCAAAACATCCCGAAGAATGCATGTCTGCCGGAGGAAGCTAAGCCAATGATTAGCAAACGAAGGATGGGAGAACGAGAAGCAGGGCAATAAATGCCAACTACAACGTCTCTACGCGCTGACCGAGGTGTATGCGAACGCCTGGACGGCGGATCTTTCGACCAGCATTCGGTGTGGTTGAAGACAAGCTAGGCAGATTCCGAAAACTCGCGCAGGGCACGACGGAAACTGACATGTTCGCACCAAGACAAGTTCGAATCACTTGGGAGTCCCGTGAGCATCACAACCATGAAGACTCAGGAGAACTTTCGAAACGAATGAATGCGATGGCGCAGCTAGCTAATGGCGAATCCGCCAGGAGCGAAAGGATGCCCGAAACAACATGCCATCGATGAATTTTAGCTCAACGCAAATCCAAACGATCCATCGAATGAGGAGAGGTACTAAAACCTCCCTTCCTGACCCTTTATCCGGGAGAATGCTAGCGCGGTGTAACAGAAAGTACAGTCATCCATGGAAACAGAATGTGACGCGGTCTAGTAACGAATACATGGAGAGACAGGAGATGCTGAGTCGAAAGAGGATGACGGGCCTGTTTGCGTCAATGACTATCTATGTGACTACCATGGTCAAACTCATCGGAATGGTTTGCCCGCAAGTCGAGTTCTACGTGGCTAAGATTGGTCAATGGTCTAGGGATGGGATGAATCGCGAAGCAGCATTGGGGGAGCACCTCACTGCCAAGATATTTGCCGAAGTAGGTGAATTCCTTTGCTCAGATACCCCGTACTACATATCACACTGCAACCCGGACGTTCAGGGGCAAACGTCAAGTCGAAATAAGGCCGTCAGCGAAACGATGGGCAGGGCGAGCGAGGCCAATTCAGTACGTCAGGCAGTCGATTGGGTCAGGAGGGAGAAGGTTGACGTTATCCCCATGAGTCGGAACCCCATCGAAACGAGAAACAGCATAAAAGAGATCAAAGGCCTATTGGGGAAGTGTTGGGATATTGACGGCAGAAGAGGGGATTCCAAGGTTGGTCGGGCCGTTGTAAACGGCCCTCCCACCCACCTACACCCGACAGAGGAATCGTGGGCTCTGCCCATCCTCTGCCCATCAACTTCCTCCTTCCATATACATACGCAGTTCAATACCAGATTATTGAGCTTCGTACCGGCCAAAAGACTTTGCCCTGCTGACGTGTATACCAACAAAGATCCAGGCATCATCATGTTTTGGGCTGCGGCAGACACAGAGGTACCTATGGCTCGTTCGAACAACTTTGCCCCGTGTCGTCTGATACGGCTTTGATGAAAGCGATGGGGCCTTGGACCGAGATGGTGCGATGTCAAAGTGTGTATATACGCAGAAATTGCATTGCCTTTCCCGGGTCGGGATGTCAAGGAATTGGATGGGGGTGACGGCAATGGAAGCTCGGCTTCCGCGGCGCTGATCTTGTGGTGCTTTGAGAAGGAGAGAAGGAATGGTTCGGCGGACGTCAAGGATGCCAGTAACATGCACAAGACACTCGGGGTTGAAGATGGGCCGTGCTGAAGGTAAGCGAGCTCAAGTCCTGTCAGCCTGTAAAATGCGCATTGGGGGGTCGGCAGCTTTTGGAGTAGGCCAAATTCAACCGTACGCCCGGCAGCTTCTGGAGTCATTAGCTGGTGCCGGGTGTCAGGCTCGCCAGCGACATAGATGCCACCGTATTGCTCGAAGATGGGAAGGACAGAAGCGTAAATATGGTCATGGATTAGTTTGAGACCTGGCTCACTTGGTATTTCGGGGTTTGAGAAGACTGCACTGAACCTTGAGAAATCATCGGCTGTCCTGAGCTGCATTGAGGTAATTGTGTTGAGTGGGGTTAAATTGACTGTGTGCCACTGACAACGGCCGGTAGCACCGATTATGTAATCATGCCCCGTTGCAATCGTTACTTTCCGCCTCCCCAACACTGCAATTGACGGTTTCCAACGGCCGCAGTTGACCAGGCGCAATTGGGCGTATTGTGGTGTTGGGGAGAGGCACACAGTCAAAATAGCCGCACTCTTCTTTACGGTCCGGTCGCCTTGCATCTTGGGACACTCCAGAGTACCTGAGGTGGTCAACCACACCCAGAGCTGCAGAATCTCGCAGATTGTGTCTGACCAGGATGAAAGACCGATAACCAGAGGGATATGCTAATCAAAACTAAGAACACGGATTGATATTAGCTCAAATTCAAACCTCGTAAACTCACGAGGAAAACTTCCTCTCAGTCGTCGCCCTTGTCTTCATCCACGCCATTCCCTCCATCTTCATACCCATCTCCTCCACCAAACGACATTCTCCAGACCAACTCTTTCGTTGCAATTCTGACTTTCTCCTGCATGGATGCCTCACCATCCTATAGCGCACCGGCCACCCCTTTCAAATGCTGCGACGGACCTGGACTTGAGCAACTTTTCTCTCTAAGACATCCTGGGCTTCTCCTCTGTTCAGCCCTGTCAGGTGGTCCCTTGTCTTGATGATGGAGCACTGCAGTCTCAAGCCCCATTCGACCCTCGTTTTCGGTGTTTTGAAGAACTCTCTGACATCACAGTCCAAGAGCTCATGCCGCGAGATTTCCGTTGCTTCGCCCGTACGCTCTTCTCTTGCATTCCCACCTTCATCTTTACCAGCCTACCTACCAGTGCGACCACATAGTACCAACTTTCTCTCGTCAGCATCCCAGCCACGATTTTGGGGACGGAGCACAATATCCACTCGGTCAAGCCACTGTCTTCCTACCGTACCTATGTTGTGTCATCAATGCAAGTGTCGGATTGGATGCCCAAGTCAGGGCAGCCGCAGGGCCACCAAGAGTAGCTTTATTAACTCCCGACCACCCAGAAAACCTGCATTTTGGGAAGAACCTCTCTTCTTCCATTAACACAGACTCTTCATATCTAGTCCATTGACCCTTCGTCACACCACATATCAAATGGTTCTTGCCAATTGCCCAGTGATATGGACACCAACAGGGTCGCAAAGACGGAGATCAGACACCAGCTGCGCACGTGTCACGATGAGGAGAACGCTAAGACCTAGGATGAAGACAAGGAATATACTTTTGAGAGCGAAGACTTGTGGAAATGAGGAACTGGAAGCAACAGGAAATGATCGTGTGCAATTGACGTATCTGTATTGATCTACTAGCCTCTACGGCGGCGAGAATTCCGCAGCGCAGCTTGACCGCCCTGCTGCGAGCTGGCTGCGCTTCCTAATGTGGCTTGCGAACGCCACATAGGCGCACGAGCCAGCTACATGTGGCCAGCCAGTCTGACACTCGGCGCCAGCTGATGGCTCCAAAAGCTGCCGGGGGCACGGTCGAGTTTAGCCAACTCCAAAAGCTGCCGACTTCCCAATGCACATTTCACAGGCTGCAGCAGGCGAAGATGGAAAACAGCACAGTCAACCATTGTGATTACGACTATCCACAACAGTTTGCGTCCGCGGCGGCCGGCCTAGATAGAGGGACTCTTCGTACCGATGGGCACGCGATCCTGAACAAGTATTTGGCAAAGATGGCGACCCCGTGTTGTTGGGATATAGTATCGCAAGACAAACCACGGCTTCGTTTATTGTTACTCTGGTCTCGATGAGAGAGTCATGATAGAAGCTTCGTCAATGTGTTACCGCATAATCGACTGAGGTGGCCGAGAGATTCGCGGCAGCGAGGTCTGCGGCATTGCGACGCGTCGAGAACCCGCCTCTCTCGGGGTGAATTCTTGGCCCGCAGAGTATCAAGTGACTACTCGCTCACAGAGCAAGCTCGTAAGTCTTGAGACTTCGAGACTGACTGTCATCAGCGGGGCATTCTCAAAACAATCCGCTTCTGGTCGCTGGAAGGCGCAAGCAAGTTTGGATGATGGCGACATGGCGCAGCCGCACTTGAGAACCGATCGACATCTGCGAGGAGCACTGAAAGGGTTGTGAAAGAAGAAAGCTTCATCGGTAAGAACAGCTGAAAACAAACAAATCAGAGCAGCCAGATACTGGCTACAGGGTATCATTTCGCGCCACATGTCCATCTCCCAATCCCAAAGTGCCGCATGGGAAGGCAGTC